ACCATATGTACATACATATTCTCTCTGGAGGAACAATACACTTTAAACTCAGGTCTTAAAGACCTCCCATAGATGAAGTTCCAAGCAAGATGAGTTAACAACAACAACAATCGTCACAAGAATACCACCATGAGTGACATTCAGTAGGAACAAGAAAAACTGCAGAATCAGATCTGCAAAGAATTTAAATATTGGAAGTTGCAGATACAAACTACAAAATAAACATAGGTTATTTTTAAAAGAATTAAAGGAAAGTGTAGAAACAAGTATAGGAACAAGTGAGTCATAACTGACTAGATATTTTAAGGAGAACTGGTAGTAATAGTAGGATTTGGCTGTTTGGTGGCTCATATTTTCCTTCTGACTGACACACAAATACCATTGTTATATACATTTTAAAGTTTTTTTGTTTATTCCATTCAACAAACATCTTCTGTACCGAGCACTGTGTTAGGCACTGGTAGAGAAGACTACGGATATGGTTAGAATATTATGATGCTTGTGCCTAATGAGCTTATAGTCTACTCTTGCCTTTGTTTTCCAAAGGTGATCAGTCTTTGGAAGGCTGAAGACAAAAGACAATGGAGACTACAGACTTATTGGCCTAACAAGATTTTTTGGCTGCCATTTTACTGCCCAAGCATAGCCAGGTCTGTCCTCCAGCATACCAACTCAGTCAACTCAATTCACTTATACAAAAAATTAATCAGTGTATCATGAGTACAGTAGTGCCCACTATTTTGGAATTGTTAAGATATTTCATTTGCAAAGTCCTTTGATACCAGGGATTTTTCTAAGTTCTGGTCTTTGTAAGCTCAGTATGACCAAGAACTCGGCAGGAGTGGTATTTCCTAGCTCACTGCCCAAAGAACTCATTTATAAAAAAATTGGGATATTACTTTAACAGGGAAACTGCCATATACCCCAGGTAATTTGTTACCTTGAGAAGTAATTAAGATGTAACAAATGTTAATTCTGAAAATCTTACCCTAGGGTAGTAAAGAAATTGATGTATATACTTATATGGCCCAAATGAAGTAATTGATATCCTGGATGAACAAAGTACTGAAGGAACATAGGGAAGGAGTGACGTTTGTCTGAGCAGGGGCCTGGGGAAGGCTTCATAGAGGAGGTGGCATTTAAACAGGGTTTTGAAAGATGAGTGGGATTTTGCTAGTGAGTAAGGAGGTGGGGATCGTGGAAAGTATTCTAGACTGAAAGAATTACAAGAACAAATGTACAGAGGCTTGAAAGTATGAAGACTGTTTCTGCAGAGGTGAGAAATGTGACTGGAAATCTAGAAAAATGGGACTCTTACTTCTCTGTTGTTAGTGTCTTTGTGGAGCTTCCTCTTTTTGCCCATCTGCTCTCATTTACCCTGTTACTGTGCATATCCTTTTGTTCCATGTTGGATGACCCCTGTTGGGATACGCGTAGAAGAGTACCTTTCCTATGTACATTAATGGGATTGTCAGAAATAAAATATTTTATTTCTGTGACTGCGAAACCAAATTTTCACGTATGTTACTAAATGATAACTTGAAATGGTGATTGGGGAATGTTTTTCAGGTTGAAAATATCCTCTTGCATGACCGAGGCCACTACGTTCTGTGTGACTTTGGAAGCGCCACCAACAAATTCCAGAATCCACAAACTGAGGGCGTCAATGCAGTAGAAGATGAGATTAAGAAGTAAGTTTCCTCCTTTCTTGGAGTTTTTGTCCATTTTCACATCAGCAGCTTGACTTTCAGCATATGGATGATGTTGTTAAATGAGATCACAACATTATCAGTCAGATGTACTTTTTACTCAACTCTAAGTTGCTATGTTTTCTTTCCTGCTTCTAAGGAGCTCACCTGCTAGAGCTCCTGCAAAGTCTAGTGGAATCAATGGTGAGTAAGGTTACTGAGGAGCCCTGGTGGTGCAATAGTTAGAGCTCAGCCGGTAACCAAAAGGTTGGCAGTTCGAATTCACCAGCAGCTGTTTGGAAATCCTATAGGGCAGTTCTACTCCATCCTATAGGGTTGCTATGAGTCAGAATAGACTTGACAGCAGTGGGTTTGGTTTTGATTTTAAGGTTATTGAGGGAGCCCTTGTGGCACAGTGGTTAAGAGCTTGGCTGCTAACCTAAAGATGGGCAGTTTGAATCCACCAGCTGCTCCTTGGAAATCCTGTGGGGCAGTTCTACTCCATCCTATAGGTGTGCTATGAGTCAGAATTGACTCAATGGCAGTGGGTTTGGCTTGGATTTTTTTTAAGGTTATTGAGAAGTTCTGGTAGCATAGTGGTTAAGCGCTCACCGCTACCTGAAAGTTTGGAGGTTCAAACCCACCAGCTGCTCTGCACAAGACAGATGTGGCAGTCTGCTTCTGTAACGATTACAGCCTTGCCAACTCTGGGAATTTCTAGTCTGTTCTATAGGGTTGCTGTGAGTTGGAATCAAAGCAACGGCAGTGGGTTTTTTGTTTTTTGGGTTTTTCTTAAGGTTATTGAAGTCTCTACAGATGTTGAGACACTGACTTCCCTAAGAAAAACCTTCTGTAGTTTTATGATTCCAGTAATGATTTTTCATGGGTAACAACACTTACTATTAATAAATCGGCAGTCTAGCATGTGCACTTATATCCTGACCCCACCCCCGCTGCTTTCATGCGTCACCCCAGGCAGCCAGTCATAGGGCAAGAAGACTTCTTCTCCAAGGCCTTGATGCACACTTAACCACAATCACATCTGGGCTGTAAAGACTCAAGCAGCTCAAGTCACGTGCTCGGTAGCACCAAGATAATCACTTTGAGAATGTGCTTATACTACATTTTCCTTGAGCCAGAATAAGAGGAAAATTGGTTCCCTGTTTCAGCCCTATTTCAGGAGAAAAGACCAAGGACTCTCAATCAAGGACCCTCTCTCTGCTGCTCTCAGGAGCATCCCAGCCAGTATTACGCGCCTCTGTGTTGGGCCGCGTTGAAAGGGATTACTATTGCTAGAAACAAATAGCAAAACATAGTATCAGACAACAATTTACAAGAAGAAAATTTTGTCATTTGAGGACCCAAGAAAAGTTGCTTCTAGAGTTAACGTATAAACAGCGCATTAGTGTCTGGATCCACATATGCTCATAAGATTAGAAAGACTGCTGCTAAAGGGCCACAGGCATGACAGACCCCTGACTTAGCAAACAGATGATTAAATGAAAAGGACAGCTTTTCATTTTATCTGCACTAATATTTTACACTCCCTCTGTAGATCACTCCCAGGGAACTGGACTCTATAAAAGTTTAAAAAAAAAAAGTATTTCTGCTGCCCCTGGTTTTTAATTATAGTAATCACATATTTAACAAAAAATGAATCTCTTGATTTTAGATACACCACGCTGTCCTACCGAGCACCAGAAATGGTTAACCTGTACAGTGGCAAAATCATCACTACAAAAGCAGACATTTGGGTAGGTGCCAACTAACGTGTCCACATCTCAGATTTCAGCAGTCTTCACTGTAAACTCCCAGATTTAATGCAGACAGTACAATAACGTTGTCCACTTATCTCTCGGGGTTACTCTTGAAAAAAGGGGACCTGGCCCACTGTTTCTTAAAGCATATCAAAGATTACATACTTCAGAGCCCTGTGAAAATTACTTAGGTGACCTTCATTATTTAGGTAGGTTTCCCATATATGTTACTAGTTCTTAAGAGAAAAACAGCTGAAATATTTGCTCTTTATTGGAGCACAGTTTGGTAATGAGGGTAGAAATAATGTTTAACTCAGGGACTAAGTAGTGGTGTTGGGTTCTGAACTGAAGTTTCTAACAGATTGGTAGGGTGTGGTTTTTAGTAATTGTGGACAGTATCAGAGTCCCTCATTAGACCCATTTGCACTTACAGTAAATAAACTACCAGTGAGCAATCTACTTTCTCTCTTTGTTCAGGCTCTTGGATGTTTGTTGTATAAATTATGCTACTTCACTTTGCCGTTTGGGGAGAGTCAGGTGGCAATTTGTGATGGAAACTTCACAATTCCTGATAACTCTCGATATTCCCAAGACATGCACTGCCTAATTAGTAAGTATTTCAACTTTCTAGTTTCATTTTTTATCTCTGACCTCTAGGAATAAATTAGAGGATCAAGGATGGAGCAAAGGGATTGGATTTCAGGAGTAGTGGGTTAGATGCCAAGACAAAGAAATAAGTTGCTGGTGGGGTAACTCAAAGATAATGTACTGCAATCTCAAAGCTGGAAATGGTTATACCAGTGGCTAGTGAAAGTGGTGGGTCCTTTCGCTAGATTTTGAAGCTCTGCTTCACCTTGAGCAGAAATTCTGACTGTGCTTTGCGCCAGTATAGCACTGCTGTGTTCTGTAGTCTGTATGGAAGCTCTGGTACCAGACAGCCCAGCTGACTCATATCAAATGATAGGAAACTCATCTTTGCAAGACTGGAAGCAATTCAAATTAAAATGATTGCAGTGTGTTGGCTGGAGTGAATACATAATTAAGTTGTATAACTCCATGAAACCAGGTTTTCCTCTCATTTAGGTTGGTCATTGGATTTTGATAACAAGCACACATTGCCTTATTATTAAAATAGCCTTTTAAGATTCCCAAGTCTTTTGTATCATTGTAGCAAGTATATGTACTAATGTTTATTAACCAGATAGTAGAATAATTTAATACAGACCCCTGTACTAAATCCTAAAGAAACAGAGATTTTTATCATCTTTCCACATTGGTCAAGACATTTGATACATAAGTTTGAACAATTATGGATTATAAATCCTGAGCAACCCAGTTTGGATCTTAGGTGAGGACATACTGAAGAATGAGAGAAGCCTCAAATGTCAGGTGGAGCATCTGATGTTTGTTGAGGGTCTACTTATACCTCATTTAATTCTTAAAACCCTTTATAAATTAAATATCGTTGTCTTTTAAAATTGACTCATAAAATAAACAAAGTCACCTGAGAGTACTGTCTCCTTTGAAAAATCATCTGTATGAGATCAAACGGTCAAGATTTACCCCAAAGCAAAGACGAGAAGGCAAGGGGCCAGGGAAACTAGATTACTGGAAATGGAACAACCAGAATGAATATAATGAGAAAGTTGACACACTGAAAAATGTAACCAATGTCACTGAACAAATTGGGTAGAAATTGTTAAATGGGAGCCTAATTTGCTGTACAAACTTTCACTGAAAACACAATAATGTATATGTATTTTAAATTAAATATAGTTTTATACATTATAAAAATGGGGAGACTGAGGCTGAGAAACTATAGATAACTTACCTAAGGTCATAGCTTTCAAGTGGCTGTGCATGCTATTTACATTGTGCCAGTTTTATTAAACTCTGCTATTTATTAACAGAAAAAGGAGGACTGTATTAAAAGGAATGAATTTGGTATTTAATGATTAATTGGATTGTTTTCAGAGATAAAGCATTATATCTATACTGGAATTATAGCTGTGTAAATGAGATTGGAAGGAGATATGAGAAAAATGGCCAAATTTGATGTTAGAATGATAGAATTTTTTGGAAATAATTTTTTTCTTTTTAATGTTTGTGCAGTAAATTCATATTGAGAAAAACAACTCCTTATGAAGATCTTTTACACTAACATCTTTCCCAGGCTCTGATCAATTTCATTTTACAACTGCTTAAAGATTCTGCTGTCACACTAAACTCCCACACCTAAAATTAATTTAATTGCCATTGCTCCCTCTGCCCTTACCCCTAATGCCCCTCTCATCTTTTCAGTTTCTATCAATGGTGTCACCATTCAAGCCTGGATGACTGAAACTTAAGGCTTTCTTTGGATCTAGCTGGAGTCCTAGGGTGGTACAAACAGATAACGTGCTTGGCTGCTAACCAAAAGACTGGAGATTCAAGTCCATGTAGAGGTGCCTTGGAAGAAAGGCCTGGCAGTCTACTTTTGAAAAATTAGCCTTTGCAAACCCTATGGAGCACTTTCTCTTCTGACATATGGGACTGCCATGAGTCATAGTTGATTCAGTCACCATTAGTTGGATCTCAATAGCCAGAGGGAAGGAAAAGCTAGTCATTTCCTGTTGTTGTTAGGTGCCATCGAGTCTGTTCCAACTCATAGCGACCGTGTGCACAACAGAACAAAACACTACCTGGTGTAGACAGAGGAGAACTGCCCCAAACGGTTTCCAAGGGTGTAAATCTTTACGGAAGCAGACTGCCACATCTTTTTCCTCTGGAGTAGCTGCTGGGCTCAAACCACCAACCTTTTGGTTGGCACAGCATTCTCACAATAGTTGCTATGTTTGAGCCTGTTGTTGCAGCCACTGGGTCAGTCCATCTCGTTGAGGGTCTTGCTCTTTTTCACTGACCCTGTGCTTCACCAAGCATGATGCCCTTCTCCAGGGACTAGTCCCTTCTGATAACATAACACATAGTTATCTATTGCTGCTATAACAGAAATATCACAAGTGGATGGCTTTAAAAAATAGGAATTTATTTCCTCACAGTTTAGGAGGCTAGAAGTCCAAATTCAGAGCGTCGACTGTAAGGGAAGGCTTACTCTCTCTGTTGGCTCTGGAGGAGGGTCCTTGTCTCTTCATCTTCTGCTTCCTGGTTCCTTGGAGATCTCTGTGTGTCTTGGCATTTACCTTACCCCATCTCTCCTCTGCTCACTTGTTTAATCTCTTTTATATCTCAAAAGAGGTTGACTCAAGATACAGCCTACACTAAATCCTGCCTCATTAACATAACAAAGACATCCCATTCCCAAATAGGACATAACCACAGGCATAACCAAAACCAAAGCCACTGCCATCGAGTTGATTCTGACTCATAGTGACCCTATAAGACAGAGTAGAACTGCCCCGTAGGGTTTCCAAGGCTGTAAATCTTTATGGAAGCAGACTGCCACATCTTTCTCCCATGGAGTGGCTGCTGGGCTCAAACTGCTGACCTTTTGGTTGGTAGCCGAGAGTTTTAACCACTGTGCCATCAGGGATTAGGGTTTGCAACACATGTTTTGGGGGACATAATTCAATCCATAGCAACGTCCAAAGCATGTGAGTCATTTCCTAAGCTGCATTAATTCTTTCTTTTGAATTTCTCCTGTTTCCATAACATTCTCTCTAATCTCTTCACTGTCACCAAACTATAGATAGACCCTGTCAGCTCATGCCTGTACTAGTGGATTGGCCACCAGCTTCTCTCCTCCCTCTTCAGTCCATCTGACACAAATCACCACCAGATTAATTTTACAAAACCCCATCTCTCATGTCCCTGTTCAATACACTTCAGGGTATTCTCTTTCCTCCACCAAGTCCTTCTTTGCTACAACAGTTTTCTCATCTAAAATGTCCTTTCCTCTCCTTTTTCTCTGCCTAACTAAATTCTGCCCTGCCTTCAAGGACCAACTCAAGTCCTGCTTCTTTTCCAAGGCCTTCACAAGTCTGTAGCACATCGAGCTTTTCTGAACTTAGTGTCCAAGCCATTCATTTTATCACTTACACAATAAATTGCCTTGCATTATTGTTTGTATGTACAGGTTTCTCCCGCCATCCAAAAGTAGAGTGTTCCATGAAACCTTTCGTAAACTGAAATGATGTAAAGCAAAAAATCAATTACCATTAATTTATAGAGTGTTCCTAGATCTAAAAAATAACCTACCAAATCATACCAAATAACACATAAAAGCTAAAATAACACTATGTATAGTAAAAGCAGGAATGATATGACAAATATACAGCCTATATAAAGTAGAAATAATGTATGTACAGTGTAGTTTCACTTACCAAAATCAGGAAGACAGGGAGCACACTGGAAGGCTGGGAGGTGGTGGTGGTGATGATGGGAGCCCCGGTAGCCTAGATGGCAATGGCACGTGGGGCTGGGTTGAAGGCCAGGGTTCAAATCCCACAGAAGAGCGGGATTTATATTAACTGCGTGCCAAGGGATGAATACTACAGTTTGAGAGAATGAGCAGGGGACAACAAGGTGAGGATGGGATCCTGCAATGCATGGTGCATTTACACGTCACCAGGCATTGGATTGGATGTGACTGGGTAGTTCAGTAAGGGTGGAGGACTTTGAAAGGAAGAACTCGGTCAAGCCTCTGTGTAAAACGGACGGAGATGACGTAGACACTTTCCCTAGCATCTCACTTGCTTGGTAAGAGTGAGAATGGATGTGGCTCTCCTGCTAGACACTATTTTCACTTTTCACCTTTTTTTGTAAAAGTGAAAATCTCCTTTGGATTTCTTTCAGTTAGCAAAAACCAGGTACTAATGTAAGTCTTTTCTAAAAATGAAGTGCTGTAAAGTGAACTTTCGGAAAGTGGGGGATACCTGTACATGCATGTGTATGTTTGTGTGTTTTCCCAAAGGTTTTCCTTTTTTCCCGAGGTTTTTTTTTCCAGTTTTAGAGAGGGCAGAAGCTTAAACGACTTGGAAACAGACAGGTGATCTGTGGACCAGGTTAAAAGTAGTTATGCATATGTTACTTTGTCGTTCCTTTTAGATTTGAAATCAGCTAATATCTCCAACAGAAGAATAATAAGTGAATTCATGAAATTTGGGTTTTGGTTTCAATTATCAAGAATAATCACTTGTTTAGTAAGATGGTATGAACTAAAGAAGTCAGAGGCAAGGCCATATAGCCTCCTAGGTATCAGAATATGAAGATGGTAGCTTGGTTCAGTGGTAGAATTCTTACTTTCCATGCAGGAGACCCAGGTTCTGTTTCTGGCCATTGCACCTCATGTGCAGCCACCACTTGTCTGTCAGTGGAGGCTTGCATGTTGCTGTGATGCTGAACAAGTTTCAGTAGAGCATCTAGACTAAGGAAGACTAGGAAGAAAGGCCTGGCAATCTACTTCTGAAAATCAGCCAATGAAAACCCTATTGATCAAAAGGACGTATCACATTGTGAATAGGGTTGTCATGAGTTGGAGGCTGACTCTACGACAGCTAACAACAACAGCTTTGCTGGAGTCCCTGTAGTGCAAGACAGGAGTGTGAGCTTCACATAGCTTTGTTACAATTCAAATACTTGGTCATTTTCTTATGAATGTTAAGAGCTTTGGGAATGTTAGAGCTTCTCTTTCTGAGAGAGGAGGAAAAGGGCTAATTGTGCTATTTGGCTTTTGTGAGGTATAAAAATTAAAAAGCAACATCCCTTGGTGGTAAAAGGGGGGAAATTATGCTTCCTAGCTAATGTCATAACTGTTAAGATATTATTAAACAAGTTGACATATATTTTTCTTAGGGTATATGTTGGAACCAGACCCTGACAAAAGGCCGGATATTTACCAGGTCTCCTACTTCTCATTTAAACTAGTCAAGAAAGAATGCCCAATTCCAAATGTACAGGTATGTGAATGGTGGTTTTTTAAGGGAAGTAAATATTATTAAATTGTCACTTATAATTCCTGGGGTATTAATCAGCCTTGTAAATGAATATAGATGTCCCTTGCTTTATCTATGAGGGGACATCCATCCAAAGCTAACTATGAAGCAGTTACTGTAAAGGGAATGCAATTTTCCCATGGAATTTAAGTATAAAATTGAGGCAGTTACACTAGGGATAAAAATGCCCCAGGGACTGAGTTGACCACTTTGGGTAAAGACTAACCAACTTCTTCTCTTGTCAGCTTTCATAGTTCTCAGAAAACCTGTTGTATTTACCTACTAAGTGGTTAGGCTGCTTTTTTGAGGCAAGGGTTAGACTTGCCCCCCTCCTGTTGGATCTTATACCGCTTGTTCCTTTTCTCCTCCATTGCAGCAGAACTTTCTTGGTTTTGCTTCTGCTGTTGGCCATCTATAACTCACTTTGCAGTTCTTCTACCCTCCCCACACACATACATCAGGCCACAGGAATGTTTTCTATACCTAGAAATCAGAAACTATACATTCACAGTTCTAGAAGTACAATGCTTGCAAACACCCTGTTTATAATCTTAGCATATTTTTCATGTGATAGTATGAACTAACTCTCAAAACTATTTGTAAAATGGATGCCATGATAAGTTAGGTTCTAATTTGAAATTTTCTTGCTAGTTTTTTAAATAATGAACTTTTGATGTCACAATTGGGCTTGAGAGTGCTATGAATAACACTCTTTCACTCTTAAATTTGGAATCAAATGTGAGGATCACGGTATTGACTTTATTACTAATCAGGCTGAGTTCAGAGAATGTGGCTTGACCAGTCAGGCTCCCTGAGACTAAGGCATGCAGTGAATGCCTGATTCTGGTGGGCTCTTCTGTAAAGGGTGGAAGGCAGGGGTGAGCAAGATGAGCTGACTTTTTTCTCCCAGTCTTATCAGTCAGATAAGTTACTTTCCTCTTTTGAAGGAGAAATGCCTGAAAGGTAGAGAAGAAGCTAACAGCTTAAGTTTTAAGGCAAAAATTCGGCCTTTACATGGAAACATGAAGGAAATGGGATGTCTCTCCTAAAAGTCAGTTTTGTAATTTGTATTCTGTTTGTTAGGTTTCCCACATTAAAATGAGGATTCCTGTATAGTAAGATCGTGTGTGCTATGTTTGCTTTTGCTGTCCCACTTTCCCATTCCTAAAGTTAAATAATGTGAACTACAACTGGAAGCATTCAGATTGGTACCTACTTTTAACAAAGTGAACTTCCTCACAAGTCTCATGTCATTTGATACTCAATCACTAGTGGTGAGCAGTTGTTTTGTGGTTATGGACCACTAATGCTCCCTCAAGAGGTGATATTAGATGGATGGTGCAGAATCCAAGTCAGAGGAGCTCTCCTTGGCTTCTGGACTGAGTAATGGCTCTCACACTGGGAAGGGGTGTTGATTCAGCAACCAACACATTAGTATCTGTGGTTTTTTCATTCTGCTGAGAAGAATGAATGCCCCCTAGTTTGGCACACTAGTCAGCTGGGAGTGAAGCTTAAATAATATAGTTGCCGACATCTCTTTTCTATTCCTTTACATCAGCACTTCTAAGCTTTGCTGTAGGAAGAGAAGAGTACTGAGATTTAGCGCTAGTGCCTGAGCCTGGTCCAGAGGTGGAAGATGATGGGGGAGGAGTGTGCTATGTACAGGCTGCTCTCTCTTCTCAGATACTTTGCCTCCCCTATTGGGCCTGCATCTGGTGGGATATGCATTTGGTTAACTTCCCTTCCCTGTACCAGAGATCAGAGCCTGGAAGCTGCTTTGGAAGACTCTAATATGTATTTCCATCAACCATTAGGCTAGTTAATCTTGCACAAAAAAATCTGTGATGTCATTTTTCCACCCTTTTAATTCTATAGAACTCTCCCATTCCTGCAAAGCTTCCTGAACCAGTGAAAGCCAGTGAAGCAGCTGCAAAAAAGACCCAGCCAAAGGCCAGGTAAGAATTGCCTTTGTGAGCACCTGTCCTGCTCTGATTGCGGTAGTAGCAAGGGTGGGTGTCTTATGTTTCTTGATTCTTTTACTGCTATGACCCAGAGGCTGCACAGAACAGGGAAGCAAGCTCTGTCTCCCCTTGGCAGAAACTATTCCGTGGGAATGCAGAGGAGTATAATAAAATACACTGATCTGCATTTGAAAGAGAATCAGGAACTCTACAGCTGTTTCCCTTGCATAGGAATAGGCGTAGGGACATTCAGAGATGAGACATCAACAGACTAAAGATTCCCTAGTACAAGTGTCCTAAACTTGTGTCCTGGCCTCAGTTTAGCCTCCTTCACCACCCAAATCCTTTTCCCCCTTTCCTTCTTCTTTTCCGGAATTCCAGCCACAGTACAGAAGTGTAGGTCAGAACACTGACTCCATGACAGCAAAAGACTCTGTGGGTCTTAGCTAATCACTTTCTGTGTTACTTGGGGTCTTCTGAGAAGCAGATGCCAAGAGAAGGTTAAACAAGCAAGAATTTTATTAGAGGAATATGTCCACGTGAGAGAAAATAGGGAGGGAGCCCGGAAAGGCTGAGGAGAGCCATCAGATGGTGATACAGTCTGACGCAGGGAGAGCCAGGGGGATATTGGGTAGAAGTGCCCGAGACTGCCCTGCCTGCGAGCTGGCCATCAGAGGAGTCCCCTGTCTCCCAGGAAGGAGCCTGCCTTCATCTCCCTGCAGCACTCAGTCATTGGCTGCGAGCAGCCTATGGGAAGCGTGGCCTCAGGGCACATGTGTCAGTGGCTTTGAGGGCACCGCCTATGAGGCACTTGGTCATTTACACCCCTGGAGCTGAAGGTCTGCAAGGCACATTCTCCTGGCTGCCACACCTTCCACATGGCAAATTCTGGGCATGACTCAGGAGATGTTTGTATCCTCTTTCACTCTACCACACTCCCATAGCAGGGAAATGTTAGCAGCAAACTGTGTCAACACAGTATCCAGACAGCAATGTGTAAGTTTAATAGAACAGAAAAATAACTTCTGTATTAAAAGAAAAAATCTTGAACATTTATAGAATGCCTGCTGTGTGCATTGAGCTGTTCCAGATGTGGCTCTAAAGTAATGAGACATTGGTTTTTAACACACATTCATGTTCTTACTTTGTAGTCTTTTGATTTCTTAAGGAAATTCTGCCATGCTCACCTCTTTTGGGGCTGATTTAATTAGCTTAGTCTTTTGGGTTTATGGCCACCTTGTACTAGACTTAAATGTGGTTTGTACAGAGCCTAAGAAAAGATCCCTTTTCCAGTTCCCACAAAGCACATATTAAGAATTACAGTCGCCACTAATATTTGCATAGTACTCTGCACAGTGATTTTACTTGCATTATTATATTCAATCCTCAGTCCTGAGAGGCGGTTTGTTGTTTTTTTTCCCCCTAAAATCAGTTTTTAAAGTAGTCACACTATTTATTGAGGCATCATATGTCCCAGATACCATACTAGGTACTTTACATAATTAAAATGACTTTTTTTTTTTTCCTTAAAATAAGCCTGTGAGGTGGTTGTTTTTATTCTCGTTTCACAGATGAGGGTTAGAGACTCAGAACTGTGAACTGCCCAAAGCAGTTAGTTGGTCAGTGGCTAGTAAAAGGCAGAATCAGAACTCTGAAGTTCACGTTCTTTCTGCTGTGCACATTAAGTGATTGGGCCAAGATGACACAGATAGAATGACTTAGACCTAGACCTTCCGGCTGCAAGGTCTGTATTTTCTCGCAGGGTGTTGAGTTCCATACACACTAACAACTTGGGCATGCTACAATTTACAGAACAATTCACAGTCATTGAGGCATTTGGTCTTCGCATCTGCCTTATGGAGTAGGTACTATTTTCTCCGTTTTACACATAAGGGACCCAAGTCCAAAAGAGGCTAAATGACATGCTCATTGTCACAAAGTGAGTGGGGAGCTGGAGCTCAAAAATAGTTTTCTCTGACTCCACATCCCATTGTATCTAAGATGGAGAAGAGCAAGATGGAGGCTTTTTTTTTTTTTTTTTTTTTGTAGTGAAACTATGCGTAGCAAAACCTTCACCAGTTCGACAATTTCCACATGTATAATTCAGTGTCGTGTAACTTTTGTTGTCATGGAGGGAGACTTTGTACGAACAAATTTTACAAAAATTTTGTTGTAGTAAAATGTACATAACAAAAAATGTGCCATTTTAACCATTTTTAAGTTTAAAATGCAGTGACAGTACTGAATTTGTTCACAAAAAAACGTGCCCACACAAATAACGTGTAGCACACCTAGGAAGATATTGTGCGAGGAGTGGCGAGGTTGGCAAAAAACCTTACAATGCACTTGTTATTTGCATAAAAAATACGGTAGTTACATTCATCATATCGTGCAATCATCACACTATTTACAAAAGTTTTTCATCAACCCAGGCAGAAACCCAGTACCTCTTAAGTAATAACTCCGCATTCCCTCCTCCTCCCAGCACCTGATAACCACTAATAAACTTTGGTCTCTGTACACTTGCCTATTCTAGATATTTCATATAAGTGGAATGTGGAGGCTCCTAGCATTTGGATTTTTACAGACATCTCTTCACATCCCTTACCCTTGGTTTTATCTTTCTTACATCTTCTCTTCTCCAGCATCTGCCCCATTTTTCCTTCTGACCTTTTTTCTCTAGGTTACAACCTCTTCCAAGTGTAATGGCTTTTATACACCACTTCTCCACCAGCACAGGAGCATCCTGCTAGCAGGATGTCAGTGAAAAGTCCCTGGGCCCAGAGTGGACATACTTTGAATGCATGTCATAGAAGGGACTGGGGCCAGCTGCTTTGCTACCTGTTTTGCATTTCATGGTGGCTGTGCCTGACATATTTGGGAAATATTCATGAAGCTTCTTTATTTTGGGCTTAACGTCAGGTATTCTTCCTATAGTGCAGTTTCAATGTGCAGCTGACTCTGGTCTGAGTTAGATACTAGCTAACTGCTTGGCTTGGTGGAAAATGAATGGAGGTTCGCACCTAAGCTTCAGCACCATCACAAAGAGTAAGCTGACTACACAGTAGTCCTTTCTGTTTGGATTAGATTTGGCTATGAGTTATAGAAAGTCCAAAGTGTTGTTGTTAGGTGCTGTCGAGTCAGTTCCGACTCATAGCAACCCCGTGTACAACAGTACAAGACACTGCCTGGTCCTGCGCCATCCTCACAGTCGTTGCTGTGTTTGAGCCCATTGTTGCAGCCACTGTGTCAGTCCATCTCGTTGAGGGCCTTCCTCTTTTTTGCTGACCTTCTACTTTAGCAAGCGTGATGTCCTTCTCTAGGGACTGGTCCCTCCTTACAACATGTCCAGAGTACATAAGACAAAATCTCACCATCCTCCCTTCTGAGGAGCATTCTGGCTATACTTTTTCCAAGACAGATTTGTTCCTTCTTGTGGCAGTTTATGGTATATTCAGTATTCTTCACCAGTACCATAATTCAAAGGTGTCAGGTTTTTTTTGGTCTTCCTTATTCATTGTCCAGCTTTTGCGTGCATATGAAGCAATTGAAAATACCATGCCCAGCTAAAAATCTTACCACCATGAAAGAAAGGGAGTACATATATTAGAGGAAATGGATAGAAATGATAATGGAGATCGCATGATAGAATTTTGCAATACCAATGACCTATTCATTGGAAATACCTTTTTTCCACAACATAAGCAGCGACTATGCACATGGACCTCACCAGGTGGAATTCACAGGAATCAAATCAAACTACATCTGTGGAAAGAGACAATGGAAAAGCCCAATATCAATCAGTCAGAACCAGGCCAAGGGCTGACTGTGGAACTGCTCATATGCAAGTTCAAGTTGAAGCTGAAGAGAACTAAAGCAAGTTCACAAGAGCTAAAGTACAGCCTTGAGTATATCCCACCTGAATTGAGAGAACATCTTGGGAATAGGTTTGACACATTGAATGCTAATGACCGAAGACCAGACATCATGGGATGCCTGTTGTTGTGGGATGACATCATGGACATCATACATGAAGAAAGCAGAAGGTCATTAAAAAGACAGGAAAGAAAGAAAAGACCAGAAATGGGTGTCAGAAGAGACTCTGAAACCTGCTCTTGAATACAGACTAGCTAAAGCAAATGGAAGTCCAAAATAGCAGTGGCTTATACAAGATAAATGTTTATCTTTTTCTCTCCAGTAAACAGTCTGGTGGTAAGCGGTCCAGGGCAGTTCTGCTCTGTGAAGCCCTCAGGGAACCAGGATTCTTCAGGCTCACCACTCTGCCATCCTTATGTGTGGCCGTGACCTCATGAACCAATATGGCAGCATTTCTGTTCCAAGCAGCAGGATCAAGAATAGCTAAAGAAGGGAGACAGAGGGCATACATCAGTTATTTCTTAAGGTTTCTAGAAACTGGGACATAACTGCTGACATCCCACTGGCCAGTACTTGCACACGTGGCTACACCTGGTTACAGGAGAGGCTGGGCAATGCAGTTTTTACTCTGGATGACCCTACGCCCAGCTGAAAATTTTACTAATTAAAGAAAGGGAGTAGATGTATTGGAGGAAATGGATTCCTGTCACTCTCCCAAATTCTTTACCTGGAATTATTATTCCTTCTAGTTGTCTTATTAAATTCACTCAGTTGTATATTTTTATTGTAGAGAGACCATTTGACAGCTAGTTCTAACTAGATTTGAGTTCCTTCCACATATGAAACTATCTGTCTCAAACCACTCTTTGCATCATCCCCCAAAGTGTATTCTGGGAATTCCTAGGAGGTAATGTGGGTAAAACGGGACCAAGATCAAATAAGTTTGAGAAACATTGTATTCTATTCTGTCTTTGAGGTTCTCCATGAACATTCACACATAAAACCTTCTAAGATGTCCTAAGGGGATAAAACCTGCTCAGCTATATTTTGATCAGTGTGTTAAAAACTTATTTGCTCACAAAATGTTTTTTTTAATAACATCTAGTAACAGAGTGACTTCCTGTGGAACACCCTTTGGGAAATGTGATCAAACAGATCTGGAAAGTTTGAATGGATGTTGAGGGGAAAGCATCATGGACTCTGCCACCTCTTCTCCATTTTCCCGCACTTTAACATGAGTCTTTTCATTTTTTCTTTTACTTTTCTAGGTTAACAGATCCCATTCCCACCACAGAAACTTCAATTGCACCCCGCCAGAGGCCTAAAGCTGGGCAGACTCAGCCAAACCCAGGAATCCTTCCCATCCAGCCAGCCCTGACACCTCGAAAGAGGGCCATGGTTCAGCCCCCACCCCAGGCTGCAGGTCAGTAATGAGATTGGTTTGAAACATGGTACATGATTTCAAGATAATAAGGAACTCTTAGAAAGCCTGGTTTTGCTTCAAGGAAACCAGGTACCTAAAGAATAATGGTTCTCTTCAAGAAGGAGGTGAGCTGCCATTGGAGTTGTATGGCAAGTGCCTGGAAAAAGAGAAACCTCTCACTGAATTCACAGATGGTTCTCCAAGACCACTGAAGTCTGTTGCCTCTACTTTTTCTAGTCTTGGCCCTGATTTTGTCGTTTGGTCCATTCATCCCATACCTACCTCTTTATTTCATGTGCTTCTTCTTCATGTGCCTTTAAAGAAACAAGACTCACCTCTCTTTGACACTCAGAGAAATTCTTTCTTTAATGCTTTGTCTCTTGAACTACCTATCTCCCCTCCATGTTTTAGTAGTCTTTTTCTAATGAGTCGACTAAGCTTGGTTTCATAATGAGGATTGATCTACATTATCAATTAACTGAACACAGTCATCCCTCTTCAACCAGGAAGCTGCTTTTGGTGAATTTGGTGGCCACTTATAGCCAGGCATCTAGACTAGGGTTGTGTACCTATATGTAAAACATTAAAGAATGCCTCTGTCATGCAGCATTCTAACAAGTGCAAAGATTTTATTTATATAGTAGCCTCGAAGGCTAATTGAAGATGTCGATATGCAGGGTGCTGACTAAGAGAGTAATGGACTAACTGGGATGATGAATAAGGGAAGACTTTCTGAAGAGGCAAATACTGAATCTTGTTTTGAAAGATACTAAGCACCTACTTTAGTAGGAAGAAGGAAAGACATTCCAGATGGGGCAGAGCATGTGTAGACACTGAGGAGCACAAGGATCTTGAGATCATCTGCCCACTTACCACCCCCTTTATTGCTTTGGCAAGAGGGACAGGCAGTTTTGTCTGGAAGAGTTTTGAGCCCTTATGTGGAGTTTATTCTCATTGCAGGACCCAGCGGTCAGCCTGTCCTTTTAGCCAGTGTTCCCCAACCAAAAACCCAGCCTCAACCCAGCCAACCTCTACCACAATCTCAGCCCAAGCAGCCACAGGCTCCACCTACCCCTCAGCAGACGCCTTCTACTCAGGCTCAGGGTCTGCCCACTCAGGCCCAGGCCACTCCGCAGCACCAGCAGCAACTCTTCCTCAAGCAGCAGCAACAGCAGCCACAGCAGCAGCAGCAGCCACCACAGCAACCTGCGGGCTCGTTTTACCAGCAGCAGCAGCAGCAGCAGCCACAGCAGGCCCAGGCTCAGCAGGTAAGGTGGTCAGAGCCTGACCCTTGCTTTGCATATCTGAGTCATCACTGTGAAAAGACCCACTAGCTACAGGTATCTTCCTGGGGAGTTACTTTGTTTGAATCAGGATCCAAATAAGATCCACATACTGTATTTACTTAATCCTTCTGGTTGTCCTATTAAATTCACTCATTTGCGTGCTTTTATTGTAGAGAGTGTATTTTGACCGCTAATTCTAACCAAGTTTGAATTGCTTCTACATATGAAGCCCTCTGTCTCACCATATATCTTTGTTTTTCATTATTTCATTTTTTTTTCACATTTTTTACTATGGACATATATTCATTTTATGATGATCGATACATATTTTAATTCTTCTTTTAGCCATAGGCTTCTCTCTCTCTCTTTTTTCCCACCCTTTTGCCTTTTTTTTTTTAGAAACTGGGTCATTCATATTATAAAATTTTCCACATCCTGGATTTGGCTGATGGTATCCCTGTAGCGTTGTTTAATGTGTTCCTCTATCCCCTGTGTAAACTGGGGATCTAGTTTTCTGAGACTTGATCAGTATTAGATTCAGTTTGGCAGTGTTTGTTCTTCGTTCTTCCTATGGTATCATATCAGGAGGCATATCTGGTTGCCCTCTCTTTTAGTAATATTAAGATCAATTGGAAGAAGGGCCTGGTGATCTACTTCCAAAAATTAGCCAGTGAAAACTATAAGGATCACAACAGAATATTGTCTGATACAGTGCTAGAAGATGAGCCTCTTAGGTTGGAAGGCGCTCATATACATGATGGCCGCAACAATGGCCACAGGCATAACAACGACTGAAGATAGCGCAGGACCAGGCAATGTTTTGTCCTGTTGTATGTGAGGTCTTCATGAGTTGAAGCTGACTCAGTGGCAGCTAACAACATTATGTTTTAGACGCTTTACGTATATTATGTAATTTAATTCTCACAAAACTCCTGCAAGTTTGGCATCATGATTACCCTTATATAGAGAAGGAAGTAGGCTTAAGAGTCTCTAAGACATACAGCTAATAAGTGACAGATCTAAGAATCAAACTTCTGACTCTTTAGACTGTACCAACCCCGGTATAGTGAGAGAATTAAACTCTAATTATTTGAGTGATTACTTCTCAGTTGTCCTAAGGATGGTACATAGTACTACTCTATATGTATTAAAGACAAGTTAATTCATTACATACAGCGTATGCTGTAGAGCCTTAGTGCCTAATTCTCTGGGAACTGGTAGAAAGGGGTCGTACCATACAAAAGCTGCCAGAAACTCCTGGAGTTTCAGTAAGGCTCTCGGGCCATCAAGGAATAAAAGTATAAATGGGAAGTGAATGAGTTAGTGTCTGGGAGAGAGAAGTTAAGCTGTACATCTTGATCTCCTGAATTGAATAGAGTTTGGAAAATAGGAAAAAAAAAAAAAGATCAATCGGTGGCTTTAGGTGTTGTCTGTCTGATTCATTCTGTCAGTGTTCCCCATCAGTTTCGCAGCCATTGCTGATCATTTCCTAAATCCATTAATTCATTCAGGACAGCAAAATGATGATATTGTAGCATTCCTTCTTCATTTAGGGACTAGAATTTTTATAAGAAGAGCTTTCTTTATCAGCTGTTTGGTTACACTGAGTTACTGTTTGTACCAAAAAGGCAGGATAAATGCTTGATCCTTTCTCTTTGTTCACCAATTTTCAGAATAATGAGTTTGTTCCTAATATCATCCAAAGAGGAGCAATGAGGTGCTTGGTTTTTTTATATCATTATGAACTCATGGATTTTAACATATTTGATGTGTTTCAATATATTGCAGTTTTTAGAAAACTACTGATTTTGGTGCTCTCAGATTGTCCCTCCTTTGGCCAGTATAATCAGCTGTTCCAGGCTCATTTGGCACTGGACCTGGAATCAGCCATTTCTACAAGGAGCTCTGTTTCCTTTTAATGGAAATGATATTTAGAGACCACAGTCTTGATGCTAGTTATTCCTAGGCCTTCTCAGTGGACAGATGTTAGGAAATGTGTTTTGTTTTGTTAAGAGAATATACATCATGAATTCACATTGATATTTCCAATTCACAGTTGGGATTACAGAGTTTTTGTTTAACTTCTTGGATTTTGTGTTTATATTTTTCTCATCTGGAAATCTTGATCCCAACAACATTAACATAATTACTTACTTGATTTATAATTTTAGATTAACAATATCAACATGATTACTGAAAACAGTTTAAAAATTACTTGCCTTTTTTACCCTTATAACGTTTAACACATTATTTCCTGAGGAGTTTAGCTACCAATTTGATGCACAGTTTATTTGTTTTATTTTCCTTTTGATTTTTAGTTATTGCTTTTTGAATTTTGATATAATTTTATGATTATGTAAAACATTTACATAGTTTCAAAGTTAAATCTGCAAAATTCTGTCTTCTCCATCCCATATATAAAGATACTTCTCATTCCTATTTATAGTGTTCTATCTTAAACATATATCATAGTTTATTCAATCAGTCCCCCCTTGATAGACATTTGGGTTGTTTCCAGCATTTTGCTGTTATAAATAGGCAGCTATTTTTGACATCTACTTCTCTGCTAACCCTTTAATTTTGCCCCAATAGACAAACAAAGTCCTTTCTGTTAACTTTATAACTAAATAACAGTATTTGGTGTATTCAAAGACAAGGTCCTGACTTTTTTTCATCAGTAGGCCATTTGTGAGCACTGTTGTGTGCCTAGCACACAGTCCCTAGCAATGGGGATTAGAGAAGTGGTCCTTATCCTTAGGAAGTTTATAAGAGAATATAACTTGAAACAATTAGGTACATATATAAGATAAAATATCAATATATGTCATAGAGTATTCTGAATATTTTGAATGTTTAAAAATGAGAGAGATTAATAAAGATAGAGCTATTGGGAAATAATTTCGAATGGCTTGAGATGAGTCTTACTAGCTGGGTTGGCATTTAGGTTATTCTTTTTCTATATCATCATTGTTTCATTCTAGTCATGTGGAGAAGCATTTTAATCTTGGCTTCTTCCAAATTCCTCTAAAGGGATTACTTCTGAAAAGTGACTAGCAAACTGACTCTGATTGGGAGATCATTCTGTCACACTCCAGCTTACGGCTGCATGATCTTTAGTCAGGTAGGTTCTCTCAGGCTAGGCACAGAAACCCCCTTGAAGCTCAGTCGGTAGTGTAGGAAGCAGTGCAGTGCAGTGGCTAGGGCCTGGGAGTGTAAGGTACTGCTGGTTTTATTGAATGCCTTTGAGGTTCCCATCATGAGTTTTCTGGCCTTGCTAAAAGACTTCTACCTGCCCTTGCTTTTGGCTTCAGTACTGATTTTAGTTTACTGAGACATTCGTCTTTCATGGAATGTGGTTCTAGGACAAGGACAGGCCTTTATTCACATCCTCATTTCTTGTGACTTTCTGCTGCTCAGTTTCAGGCAGTACATCCAGCATCCCAGCAACCAGCGATTGCTCAGTTCCCTGTGGTGGCCCAAGGAGGCTCTCAGCAGCAGCTGATACAGAACTTCTACCAGCAGCAACAGCAGCAGCAACAGCAGCAGCTTGCCACAGCCCTGCATCAACAACAGCTGATGACTCAGCAGGCTGCCCTGCAGCAAAAGACCGCTGTGACAGCAGTACAGCAGCCCCAGGCACAGCCAGTGGCCCCACAGCCAGTCCCCGCCCAGGAGCCAGCGGTAAGAAATCAGCCAGAGCTCAGAACGCAAAAGCAGAAGAGGAGGGTGCAGTGAGGGCTAGGGAAAGAAGGCGGCGGCAGCTGGTGAGGGTGTGTGTGGGCTAGGGCCAGCTTGCTTCCCCACCTTAGTGGTTAAAGTATTTGATCCTTTCTTGATACATCCAAGGGTGAGGTATTCCGTAGAGTGTAGAGATTTTTTAAAAAATAATTCTAAGCTATTGGTGATGATGAACATTCTTATTTATCACTCTGAAATTAGACTAGCAAGAAGAGTGGTTGATTGTCAGTGTCAATGCCACTGTTGAGCAGTCAAGGACCTCGCTAGGATTAGAACTAATCCCTTTCCCTTCTTCAAGAGGCGTTTTGATCCACTGTGGTCTTTCCAGTCCCTGGAGGTTCATGTGGGCCCCACCTTTACCCTGAGTCCCGGCAGTGTTGTTTATTCTTTGTCTTGGATGACATTACTAGCCACATCATCTAAGCCTACCACGCAGCACCCTTCAAGGGTCTGCTTGACTGGGACAGTGTACCGTGGCCCAGTCCCCCTGGGCGCTAGAGTATCTACATATCCAATTATTTGAGCCATCTTATCAATTTAGAAGTTGGGCATGTCTGCTTCTAGATATTGGCTAAATATAGCCCCAAAACCCCTATATCCTTTCCTGATTGGCCTCTATAGTTTTGGCATCCTCAAGCACAGAGTACTTGGACCTTTAGTAAATGACCTTTATTCTGTATGCTGATTTTTCTGCTGATTTTTCCAATTTTATAGTGATTTAAAAAAAGACATTTTACATACCCAGCTGATAGAGTGTCACTGCTACTCTCTTATTCCCAGGGAAGTTCAACTCCTAGATGAACGAAGGAAAAGTAAGAAACCATCTTTCTGAGGACTGATTTCTAATAGAGTTTTGTCGCCCATCTTAAACCAGAAAGCCTACATCCCTTCAAAAGGAAGCAGTGCCGTAAATAGATTGTCTTCTTTAAGTGTCAGCTAAGTGTGTGTTCAGTGTCTTTACACCTTTCTTTCCAAAACAACTCAGCTTTCCTGCAGGAGTGTGGTAAACATCTACTCTTGTATTTTTAACTAGAGGAAGTTGTTCTTGTTAATGGAACAAGAGTTTTAAAAAATATATATTGTGTGATATAGCTGGAAGGGATCTTAGTGACCTAGCCCAATCCTTTCATTTTATGGATTTGGAAACTGAGTTCTGGGCTAGAAAGTGATGGTCCAAGACACGAACCCGACAATAGCTTGGCTGGGGCAAGAATCGAAGAATCCTGATCTGTATTCAAGGACAGATGCTTATCCAGGGCAAGAAAATGATCAACTACCAGCTGGTTACACTTCTTGTGAGGTTCCCCTCTGCTTTCCCAGGACAAAAGTGCCCATCTGGTGGAAATCATGAGTCTTCTGTCAAAGAAAAAGGACTTTGAGCACTTTGCTCTGGGGTAGCTGGTTGAGGGAACGGGAGCAGACTGTGCTTTGGCCAGGAGCTGAGCACTTCCCAGCTTTGACTCATCCCTTTCTCTGATGACCCTTGCCAGGGCTTACCTAGAGAGGCAAGTGAGTGAGTGTGAAGAATGTCCTGCAGCCATCTTAAAGCAACGGTATGCAAAGGAATAGCCGCCGCCCGCCATAGGTGTTTACTGCATTCTTGTTAATAACAGCCCCCAAAATGGAGGCCACTGAATCGTTCAGGAACCCAACTGTGCAGCCATTAAAAATCATAGTTATAAAGTCTGCGCAACAGTATGAAAGATGCTTATGAGGTAATGTTAAAAGAGATGGAAAATTATAGGAAAAGTTGTGCTTGAAAAGAGACTTAAATATAAAACCAAACGAAGTGGTAGAACAGAATTCTGGCTAATTCTCCCCCATCCCCCTTTTCTGTTTTCTTAGTTTCCTTGATATGATTATACTTCTTTTATAATTATGTATTTTATTTATTAAACAAATCTTTAGCAAGATAGACTTCTGAGTTTACCTTTTGTCTTCCTTCTCCTGTGATCTGCCCCTCCCTCCCCCCTCTTTCTAATGCCATGTTTGGATGAGGAGGCATTGTGGTGCAGAAGAGTCCTGAACTGCAGTCAGGAGACATGGATTCTGCCCCCAATAACTCTGTGACCTCCAGCAAGCATGTAACCACTGTGGGCCTTGGTCTCGTGCCTCTGAAGTGAGGGAGTTGGAATACTTGTTCTCTTAGGTCTTTCATCTCTCACATTCTTTGATCCTGAATGGAAATAAACTGAGTGCCTGGCAGGATTGTTGTGAAGAGCAGATGAACGGGTTGGAGCCGCTTTGTATTAGTAGGTGGCTGTAATAGAGCAGTTGGAATCCACCAGCCACTCCTTGGAAACCCTATGGGGCAGTTTTACGCTGTCCTATAGGGTCGCTATGAGTCAGAATCGACTAGATGGCAGGGGGTTTGGTTTGGTATAATAGGGTAGGCGTTCCTGGGTGGTGCACACGGTTAATGCATTCAGCTGCTAACTGAACAGTTGAAGGTTTGAGTCTACCTAGAGGCGCCTCAGAAGAAAGGCCTGCGATCTACTTCTGAAAAATCAGCCATTGAAAATAATCCTATGGAGCATAGTTCTACTCTGACACACATGGGGCCGCCATGAGTCAGAACTGACTTGACAGTAGCTGGTTTTATAATAGGGTAAGGTGTCCTCATGATCGAGGCATCTGTTGTTCAGTGTGGTACACAGAGAGAGTAGGTAAGAAGAGGGGTGTGTGTTCTTCAAAATAAAGCGACTCAACAGTTAAGTACCATTTTCAGAGTAATGAATGTCTTAAACTCCAAGAAGTAAGTAAATCTAGTTTTGTCCTTAAAGCCCTCTGGCCTCTTTGGGTGCTGGTGTTGGGCCAGCTGTTGCAGGTGTGACTCTAGACCCCTGACAGAAGTTGTAGAGGTGGAGCTCTGGTCTTCTTTCCAGAGCGTTCTGCTTCTCTCTCACAGGTGCAGGAGATGTTTCCCTTCTAACCTTAGTTAGATTGATATTAGAACCTTATACAGTAAAACCTGTGAAAGCCAGAACATGAGTAAGGCGGAAACCTGTCAGAGAAGGGAAACTCACGGGATGTTTATGAGGTAGGATTCTTAGCAGAAGGGCAGACCCATCGATTTCCACCTCTCACGTTTCACAGTGAGACTCAACAGTTAAGTACCATTTGCAGAGTAATGAATGTCTTCAACTCCAAGAAGACTGCCTTGTTTTTCCGAGTCTCACAAGTTTTCTACGTTTGACAGGGTGCAGTCTTAACCATTTTTCTGTAGTTACCTATTAGTGGAAAATATTTGAGTTTTCCTTCTCTGATGGGTTTCCACCTTACACAGGTTCCAGCTTTCACAGGTTTTACTGTATTGTATCATTCAGCCTGTTGGTAAAGTGGTTGGTGTACTCACTTGTATACACAGTATACCTTAATAAATTTTCCAAGTCTGAGTAAATATACCCGTTGCCATCGAGTCGATTCCAACTTATAGTGACCCTAGGACAGAGTAGAACTGCCCCATAGGGTTTCCAAGACTGTAATCTTTACAGAAGCAGACTGCAACATTTCTGCCCCGCAGAGAGGCTGGTGGGTTTGAACCATCGACCTTTCAGTTAGCAGCCAAGTGCTTAAGAAAATCCCAGGCTATAAGCATCCTGACCTAATCTTTTTCAAGGTGTACATTTGAAGATGCAGAACGTGGAAACTGAGCTGCAGTGTAGAGAGGTAGCTCTAATCTGAGATGAAGGGCTGGAGGGGAAGGATAGTTAAATCTCAGGGCATTTAATATTTTAAGTCATTTTCTCTGGATTGTCAGAATTAAGGAAAAGGATTAGTTGGCTTTCTTGACATTATTTTTTGTTTATTTTCCTTGATGTAGCCCTTTGCAGATGGTGATTTATGCTTAAGGACTACCCATGTGGCTGCAAGGATGTTCCCACCTGTTCGTTCTGTAGTGACAGTGTGGCCAATGGTCTGAAAATGGTCCACATCTCAAGAATCCTGTGTTACTAGCTCAACCATCATCAAAAAGGCTATTTTTCTTTCCTTTTTCTTATGTTTGCTACCTGGTTCCTCAAGTCATTTCCAAACTGAAAATTTGGAACAAGTTCATCTGACTACCCCAATGCTATACATTTTCTCAGGGGTCTCACAGAAATAGGGTCTTGTAGACACACCCCATCAATGAAATACATAGCCTTAAAAGCAAACAAACAAAAGCGCGGTCATTTCTAATCACAGGGGTGTTCTGTCTGACTCACTCCTGACTTGTAGTCTCAGGAGAGTCAGAGACTCAGGCTCTCTTAGCAGAAACCATGTCGCTCACATGCATTTTAGCTGGAGGTGTGTCTTCATTGGCTTCTGGCTGTGGTGGTAGAGTCCTAAGGCGTGCCTTTGGGAGGCATTTGGACAATTCCTGTGTGACTCCAGAAGCAGAAAGTCATCCTTTAGAGTACGTTCTAAATCTTTAGAACTGTGAATAGCTTCTGTGGTTTTAAATACTCTGGGTTGAATTACTTATGGTTACCCTATGTATCATTGCTGATGAAGATTCAAATTTGTGTATAAAAGTGCCAGGGAAATACCATGTTGATATCATTCTCAGAATAGCAGTTCAGATTATAAAAGCCTAGTTTTTCTTTCTGGGTGTTATTGATAAACTTGGCTATTTGAATCCCGTGTTAGCCTTCTTGTGGCTTTTTTGTTATGTCTATTTATTTGTTTTTCCTTTTCCTTCTTTCTTTTTTTTTTTTTTTTGGAACACTTTCCATGTCTCTTCCTAGCAGATTCAAGCCCCAATAAGACAACAGCCAAAGGTTCAGACAACCCCACCTCCTGCCATCCAGGGGCAGAAAATCGGATCTCTCACTCCTCCATCATCCCCCAAGACCCAACGTGCTGGGCACAGGCGGATTCTCAGTGACGTAACCCACAGTGCAGTCTTTGGGGTCCCTGCCAGCAAATCAACTCAGCTGCTCCAGGCAGCTGCAGCTGAGGCCAGTCTCAATAAGTCCAAGTATGTGGCGCTTCCCCTTTGTCTTTCTTATCTTTGTGGGCAAGGTCTGCCGTTCGCCATTATTGTTGTGATTCTTTGCATATGTATGATTATGTATGTATGTATAGTGTGTCATGTATATGTGTGTTTAATAAGAAACTGTGAATTTTCCTGTAGTGCACGTACCGTACTGATCTTAAATAATTTACTGCTTTGCTCACTGTTTTCATTCTCTTGGTCATTCCGTGCTCAGAGTGTTTTCTAAACTCACGATCTGACCAAGTCTCTCCATGCTGAAAATTGTTCATTGGCTCCCCATTGCCCATAGGATAATATCTGAACTGACTGTATCACTGGCCTTCTGTATCACACTGGTAGACCACTTTTCACCTTCATGAGCGCTTTGCACGTCCTATGCCCTCTCCTCCTTGTCCATCTGGGAAATGCTTATTTATTCATCAGGATCCATGTCAGAGGTTACCTTTTCTTTGAATTTTCTAGGCTCAGACCTCTGGCATCACTTACTATTTTGTCTCAGACCTTTTCTTGAGCATGTATCACATTGTATTATCACTATTATTTGTGTGTCTGGTTAACCTAGCCTGTGAGTTCTTCCAAGACAAGGAGCATGTCTTAGTCAACCTTTGTAAACTAGTGACTGGCTCTGTGCCTGCCATAAAGTAGGTTTCAGCGACTGTTTATTGAGCAAATGCAATTTCAGACCCTCAGCTTTCTTGTAACCATGCACTCTAAAGTTAAAAATCTTTACAGCAAGTCATTAGTTAAATTAAAAAAGGTGTCAAGAGAGACTCTAGAGGAAATTAGATAATGATGACCTTTAACCACATGATAGTGCTAATTGTCTTTCTCTTTAATTGTGATGGCAACCACTGATGGTGGCCTTTAATTCTCTACGTGTCAGATCCTGAAAAATGGGAGGCAGCCTGACTAGGCACCAGTGCCAGCCCTCCAGGGGCCAGTCATTGTGGCTGTTATGGTAGACACCACAGGATGCAGAAGCCTAAGAGCAGGTTGCTTTGGAATCCTGAATTGAAAAGAGATGCAGCCAAGACCAACAAACTATGCAAGGGATTAAAGAAGTAGTGGGAGGTAGTGAGTCATGAAGAACAGGGAGACGTTTGTTTCACAAAGTGGAAAGGGTGTCTGTGGAAGCCGTTCAGTTGCCGTGGAAAACTCTTTTCGAAAAACACCATGGAAAGTAATGATTTGACTCAGAAAATAATTCAATCCTGAATCAAGGGGAAAATAGGTTGACTCTTTTGTTCAACTTCTATGTTTTTTATTTCGTGGGGGTGGGAACCTACCTAGGTCTGCAACCACCACTCCATCAGGCTCCCCTCGGACCTCCCAGCAGAATGTTTATAATCCTTCAGAAGGTTCTACGTGGAATCCTTTCGATGATGACAATTTCTCCAAACTCACAGCTGAAGAACTGCTAAACAAGGACTTTGCCAAGCTGGGGGAAGGTGAGTAATTGGTGTCTTTTTGTGATTCTTGGTCATAAATTCTGTGTGCTGGGAAATACCAAGAGTTAGAATGAACCTTAATTCTAGAGGGGTGTGTATGTGGAAATGTAGACTTGGGCTTTTCTTTCTCTCAAAGGCTTGATTTTGGAGTATGTGTGCAAATCCATTTTTATTTTTACCACAGCCTTGAAGCCTTTTCATCCTCAGGAAATCATGATCTGTTTTGAGTGGCAGCAAGGAGAGTGTGAACGTTAGGGAAGATACTGTGTTTTAAGAAAGATTCCGTAGTGTCGGTCAGGATGGTAGTATCAAGCATGGTCGCTCCTTAGAGGAATGTGAGGAATGTGATGGCAGTCCCCTTCTTCTCCTTCAACATAAGTAGGTTTGTTGTTGTTGTTAGTTGCCATCAAGTTGGCTCCAACTTACGACAACCTTATGTATAACAGAATGAAACATTGCGTGGTCCTGCGCCATCTTCATGATTGTTGGTACGTTTGAGTCCATTGTTGCGGTAATTGTGTCAATTCCTCTCATTGAGGGTTGTCCCAGAGAGTTGTAACTACTTGCCCAAGAGAGTCTGCCCTCATGTGGACATTCAGTCTTCCACTATGTTCAGAGTTCTGTGTTACTGTTGACTGACCACAGAAAAGAGATCAGATACAAAGAAGATATCATTTCTGCCCTCACACAGTCTAATTTTGAAGGCAGGACACACACACACATACACTCTGGAAATCAACAACACACACCCTGGGAAATTACTACAAAATGATGCAATTCGAGACCATGGTCTCAAAGCTCAGTTGGCATAACGTAGTTTATTAAATAAGTGTTCTATATCTGACTGTGATGAGTAGCGTCTGTGGTCTTAAAAGCCTTCGAGCAGCCATCTAAGATATATCTATGGTCCCATCCTGGCTAGAACAAAGGAGAATGAAGAAAACCAAAGATACAAGGGAAAGATTAGTCCAAAGGATTAATGGACCACAACTACCACAGCCTCCACCAGACCAAGCCCAGAACAACTAGATGGTGCCCAGCTACCACTACCAACTACTCTGACAGGGATCACAATAGAGGGTCCTGGACAGAGTGGAAGAAAAATTGTAGAACAAAATACAAATTCGCAAAAAATAAATAAATAAATAAAAGACCAGACTTACTGGTCTGACAGACTGGAGAAGCCCCGAGAGTATGGCCCCCAGACACCCTTTTAATTCAGTACTGAAGTCACTCCCGAAGTTTACCCTTCAGCCAAAGATTAGACGGCTGTATAAAACAAACAATAACACACGTGAGGAACATGCTTTGTAGTTCAATCATGTATATGAGACTAAATGGGCACACCAGCCCAAAAGCAAAGATGAGAAGGCAGGAAGGGACAGGAAAACTGGATGAATGGAAACAGGGAACCCAGAGTGGAGAAGGGGAGAGTGTTGACATATCGCAGGATTGGCAACCAATGTCACAAAACCATTTGTGTATTAATTGTTTAATGAGAAACTTATTTGCTCTGTAAACTTTCAACTAAAGCACAATTTAAAAAAAAAAAAAGATGCAATTCAGAAAGAGTACATCAGCATAGACAAAAGCACAGGTAAGGGAATAATTAGAGCCAGGTGAGTGGTATGAGCTGTTGACTGAACATTTTAGCTTTAGCTGTTATTTTATAGACATCTTTTAAAAATCCATATTACTTTCTTGGTTTTTAAACAGAGAATTGAGCAAAGGATTTAACTTTTCTTTGACAGCTCAGTTTTATTGTTATGTGTGCCAGTTATTGTTCTGGGCTATAAACAGAAATATCTTTATGGGCTGTTGAAAGCTGTAATATTTTTGCACCCAATTAAGTGAACCTTGAGTTTTTTTTTTTAATTCTTGAGTCTAGGTTTAATAATTTCCTATCTTCTGTCTCACTGTTCAGCTGTCAGCTTTCACATTAAGCTGCTGTCATTGCTGTCCCTCATAGTGTCATACTCTGCCATCTCCACCACTCCCTCTTCTCATTTGCTGTTTAGAAACTGCTTTCAACAGGGTAAATAGATCGTCAAACTCATTAGAATGATATAAAACAAAATAGATTCAGAATGATGGTGGGAGGCCATTCTGCACTGAGTAATGTGGTTGAGCTTTAGGGCTTAGCTCTGTGCTATCTCTTCTCACTCTTAAAACCTTCCTTCACCTTCTCGGCTGTTCTCTCAGATATTGAAATGACTAGACAGCAATTTTTGAATAGCTAAGGTGTTGCCATAATTCATTAAAAGAAGTCAAGTCTAGAAGTCAATTCAGAGGATACCCTTTACCTCACGTGTGTGTGCATGTGCGCACATGCATTTATTACGGTATTCTGGCTGAAATGAACTGACTGGTGTTTTGTCCCTGCAGGCAAACATCCTGAGAAGCTTGGGGGCTCAGCTGAGAGTTTGATCCCAGGCTTTCAATCAACTCAAGGCGATGCTTTTGTGACTTCCTCATTTTCTGCTGGAACTGGTTAGTATGGCTGACACCCTGAAACATGAGGTCTGCTGTTGTTACCTTCACACTGTTTTCCACTACACAGATGATTCTAGCATGCCAGTGAACCCTCAAGTCTTTGCAATAACTTGTATTTTCTTTCATTCACTAGATTTCCAATCAAAAAGATAGGGATGGAGAAAAATCTAGAATTAGAAGGACAGGTTCATCTGGCAGTAATATACACAGCTGTTCTCTCTATTCCATGGACATGTCTAACTATTTCTAAATTTAAGGAACAATAGCTATTTAACATTACACCAAGGAAACCTCCTTCTGCACAGGAAGTTTGTTCACTCTGTTAATCTCTTGTGATTGTTTAGGTTATTTGGAATGACTTGAAGAGTTTGAAGAATTACATGGTCTGTCCTATGTCTGAGATTCTCCTAAGCTGTGTTTGTGTGTGTCTGCTTAGGGAGTGAGGAGGGAATTTTTTAAATGAGGTTTTTTTTTCTTTTTTTTTTTTTAATTATAGAAGAATTAAATGAATTTTCCTCTTTATTAATAAAAATTATACATATTTACCATATAAAAGTTGGTAATTTATACCAACAGAAGTATAGAGAAAGAAGTTGAACTTGCTCATGATCTCACCACTAAGAGATAGTGCAGGGATAACCATTTTGATGTCTGTTGGTGGCATTTAATCTTTTTTAAGGTCATAGATATTTTTGAGAATCTAATGAAAGTTATGGATCTTCTCCTCACCAAAATGCATGTGATCACAACTTTGTACAAAATTTTAGGCCTCAGCTTAAGACTGTGATGTGCATCTTTATATATTTAGTATGTATACACACATATATACATATACACAACATTGCACATACTATTTTTGAAACCTAATTTTTTCAGTTGATAAATCTGGCATATTTTCCCACATCATTCAAAAGACTACTAAAATGTAATTTTTTTAAATATCTGCATTATATTCCTTTATATAGGTATACTCTGATATTATAGGTATTTAACCAAGACTTCTTTTACATATTAACTTGATTAGAGTGTTTTATATTGTAAATTCCTCAGCAGTGGACATAAGGTTTTGAATATATTCTTCGTAGGATATGGAATTTGATATACTTCTGAAATTGATCTTTTTAAATATACTAATTAATTTCTGCTTTTAACCTTATGTATTCTTCCTTCTTGCTTTCTTCAGGTGTTTTAGTAGTTTTTCTAACCTCATAAACTTATTTCTGATTAGAACCTTGGCTGCCATTCCATAATAATTGATATGTAATGCTCTTATTACTCTCATTGTTTTCTGGGTATTTTTTACTTCTTTTTTAAAATTTTTATTGTACTTTGGGTGAAAGTTTATGGAGCAATTTAGTTTCCCATTCGATAATTTGTACATAAAATGTTCCATGGCCTTGACTTCACTCTGCACAATGTGTCAGCCCTCTCCCCATTTCCACCCTGGATTCCCCTTTTCCTTTTGTCTGGATTTTCTATACCTTGTTGCCTTCTCATCTTTGCTTTTGGGCAAATCTTGTCCTTTTGATCTTGTGTAATTGATTGTTCTAAGGAACACGTTCCTTTCGGATGTTGTTGTTTATTTTATGGGCCTGTCTGTTGTTAGGCTGAAAGGTGGTTTCTGGGAATGGCTTCATTTCCAGGTCAAAAGAGTGTCTTAGGGCCATAGTCTCAGGGGTTCCTCCAGTCTCTGTCAGACCGGTAAGTCTGGTCTGTTTTGTGAATTTGGTTTTTTGTTCTATGTTTTTCTCCCACTCTGTCCAGGACTCTCTGTTGTGATCCCCGTCAGAGCAGTCGGTAGTGGTAGCCGGGTACCATGCAGTTCTTCCGGTGTCGGGGTTGTTTAGGCTGTGGTTCATGTGGTCCATTAGTCCTCTGGACTAATTGCTGCTCCCTTGAGTCTTTGCTTTTCCTCACTCTCCTTTGCCCAATAATTGTATCTTAGATGGTTACTTTTAAGACCTCAGATGCTACTCACCGAAGTAGGATACAGAACACTGTCTTTATGAACTATGTTTTGCCACTTGACGTAGTTGTCTCCTGAGTCTATGGTCCTTTGCCTTTGAGCCCAGGAACTTCGTCCCACGGGGTGTTTGGTTCTAAGAAGTTTGCATGACTGTGCCCCTTACATGCTCTGTTGTCTGTATTAATACACACACAGCACCTACAATTATATATGTAGAAATATCCACAACCAAATCTATATCTGCAGGTGGGTGTGCTCCCTCACGCCCTCCCACACCTCTTTAGCGTACCTATCTACCTGTGTATCTGTTCATAAATTATTGATTGTTAATACTATTGTTTGAGGATCATCTATGTTATAGTTGTTACCGTAGTTGCCCCTTACTCTTGCGTTCCTCTCAGTATCTTCCTTTGCCTTGGTCATGTTGATGCTGACTTCTCCCATATTGTATACTGCCTTCCCTTCACCAGTATTAACATGTGTCTTCCATCTAGTTAATAGTTTTCCCTCCATTCCCCTCCTATCCCTAAACCAAAAAACTAAACCCATTGCTGTCGAGTCGATTCCAACTCATAGCAACCCTATAGGACAGAGTAGAACTGCTCCATAAGGTTTCAGAGAACACCTGGTGGATTCAAACTGCCGATCTTTTGGTTAGCAGCTGAACCCTTAACCACTATGCCACCAGGGTTTCCCTCCTACCCCTGGTAATCATCAAAGAATGTTGTTGGTTTTTTTTCTGTGTGTAAACCTTTTCTTGTTTTTTTTTTTAAATAGTGGCCTCATACAATATTTATCCTTTTGTGATTGACTTATTTCACTCAGCATAATGTCCTCCAAATTCATCCATGTTGTGAGATGTTTCACAGATTCGTCATTATTCTTTATCATCGCGTAATACTCCATTGTGTGTATGTACTGCAATCTGTTTATCCATTCATCTGTTAATGGACATTTAGGTTGTTTCCATCTTTTTGCTATTGTGAAGAGTGCTTCAGTGAGTATGGGTGTGCATGTGTCTGTTCTTGTCACAGCTCTCATTTCTTCAGGCTGTGTACGTAGGAGTGGGATTGCTGGATCATATGGTATTTCTATTTCTAGCTTTGTAAGGAAGCGGCATACCATTTTCCATAGTGGTTGTACCATTTTACATTCCCACCAGTAGTGTATAAGAGTTCCAGTTTCCCCACAACCTTGTCAACATTTGTTACTTTCTTTTTGATTAGTGCCATTATTGTCGGAGTGAGAAGGTATCTCATTGTAGTTTTGATTTCCATCTCTGTAATGGCTAATGATCATGAGCATTTCTTCATGTTTGTTAGCCACTTGAATGTCTTCTTTGGTGAAGTGTCTATTCATAACCTTTGCCTGTTTTTCAGTTGAATTGTTTGTCTTTTTGTTTTTGAGTTATTGACGTTTTCTGTAAATGTTAGAGACTAGACCCTTGTCAAATATGTCGTAGTCAAAAAATTTTTTTTCCCAGTCTGTAGGTTCTCTATTTACTCTTTTGGAGAAGTCTTTTGATGAGTATAAGTGTTTAATTTTTAGGGAGTCCCATTTATCTAGTTCATCACAGGACTTTATGTATAGCAACTTAGTGTGATTCTATAATTATTTTAAAAGTTTTGTAAAAATCCACTTTATAGAAAGCAAAATGATATTTTAATTAATGGACAAAAATAATAAAATGCAATTTAAAGGATGATAAATTGGAAGTCAAGAGACCTGGATTCTGATCCTGTCTCTGCTGGTGGATCTCTGGCCAGTCTCTTAACTTCTAGGTGCTTAGATCCCTAAGAGCTCTGATATTCCATAGAGTGTATAGATTTCTGTAAATCTGTGTTTGCCAAATATAGAATGAATGCAAATGTTATGTTCAACGTAGTTCAGAGGTTAGGGCTTATCTAACCTCAACAGGCAAGAAGTCAATTTCTGTCTCTTTCTTTGTGCCTAACCAGCACTATTTTAGACACTGTGATGATACAATAGAACTTCGGTCCTTGAGTACCTCAAAGGGGTAATGGATGTATAGGAAGACCTGTGCACATGTGCTAGATTACAAAATAGTGTTGGTTTACATGCCAGAATGCATGGTATGGACAGTAATTGCTATGGGAATTCTGAGAGAGAGAGATCACTGTGAGCTGCTGTATCTAAGGAAGAAGTAGAATTTCAGATTTGTGTGAATATCCTGGTTTTATCATTAATTTTACCTTACAGTATTTTTAAGGACTAGATTATGTATCTCACAGGTACTTTGCTATTCCACTGGATTATATCTCCTCATCCCCCTTTATTCTGCTATGACTTACTCTGTAATTTGAGCTGTTGTGTTAGTAGATGGTAAATTCATTTAGATTTATGTGATGTTTTCTGCTTTTCTCTTTTCTCACTTTGACCCTTCCTTCCCCTCCCTCTCCAACCGACTTCAGCTGAAAAAAGGAAGGGTGGGCAGACTGTGGATTCTAGCCTGCCACTTCTGAGTGTGTCTGATCCTTTCATTTCTCTTCAAGTACCTGATGCACCAGGTAGGTAAATAGAACTGTTCTGGGGCTAAGCAGCCTAATTCTTATATCCCAAGGCCTTTTGAGAGTTCCCTTTTAAACACTCTATGAGAGGGGTCTGACTTTCAAAAACTCATAGCAGATGCTTTTGTATATTTTTAATGTGTCTCAAATAAGAGGGGCAAACTTGTCTTTGAGGGCACCAGCTCTTAGCAAAGATAATAAAATCAGTTCCGGTTATGCTAGATTTTTTTCCACTTACCAATGTTTAGTTTTTCCTCTTTGCTTGTGTTCATGGTAATGTGAGGGGCCTATGTATTAGAAAGAACATTAGTCTAATATGATTATAACTATGTGGGGTTAAAAAAAAACCTGTAAATGTATGAAAAAGGAACAAAATGCCAATAGTGGTTATTCTTATGATGATGGGATTATGGGTGACTTCCTTTCTGTCCAGTACCTATTCTTCTGTAATGTGCTTTTATTTTATAATATAAAAATGCATAATAAAAATAAATAATAATTTTTTTTTTAAAGCATAATAAAAGTTGATGGGAAATGTGAGTCAGGAGACCTGGGGCCCCTTCCTGGCTGTGCCATGATGTGAAGACCTTCTGGGCCAACTCTTCATTGTGAAGAGAGTTGGGCTGCATGAGTTCACATGTCTCTTTCCGTCTGCCAGATCCTGATTAGTAAATAAGCAGTCTGAAAGTAAGAAATGGTTAGCGTGTTCTGATTGAAGAAGCTTTTGAAACAAAAGTTGAATGTTCTTCATTTGGAGTTCATGAATGCCACTTATTTCCCCTCCTGCTTTCCTCCCTCCCATCCTTTTCTTTCAGGAGGGTGGTGGGGAGTAGTTTAAGGAGCAGCAATTGCCCTTTCCCTTCCATCAGACTCTTTGAAAAAGCAAATAGGTGGACCCAGCTCTTTAGAAGCAGCCGATGGTCATTCTGCTCTGACAGTCTTTCCTTTTTTCCCTTTCTTACCTCTTCTAATTCTTAACCTCAAACTGATAGTCTGTTTGTTCTTCTTTTCTCTCAAAATGTTAAAAGGTATATGATTGATTGCCTCAAGACTGGAAGTGATCGTGATGTTCATATCCTCTACTTACTAAGACAGACTTCAGCTAGGTACCAAGACAGTTTTTACTACTTTAGGCAATTTATTGCCTCTTCTAAGGGGAAGGCAGAAAGTTGCCCTGATCAGGTCGCTTTGCTCCTGTCTGTGGGGCTGCTCCTCTGACGTGCCTGACTTGACCCTGCCAGTCCTGACCTCCTGCTCTCTGCCTGGTGGTGGCAGCAGTATTTTAGGGGTAGACATAATAAGCCCTTATGGGAAAGCTGAGTTACCGTATAACTATAAACAGTCCACCCTACTTATGCTTGTAGTATCGCTCGAATAAAAACCTGAAAATGGCATCATGAATATAAGGGATTAACAATTTTCATAAAGTGACATACTACTTTATCCACTCAGAATTCCCGACAGCAGTACTATGTAACTTTCTAGGTTGCTGGATCCGATTGTAGCTCACAAATATCTAAAATCACTTTGACAACTGCTTCAGTATAGGGTGGTTAAAGAGAAGGGAGAAAAGGAGTCAAATAAAGGCTCTTTTCTCTGTTGTACCATCCAGGTATGCCTGGCAGTACCTTGATAAGCCAGTTTCAAGCAGAGAGCTGCAAAGGTGGGGCTGAAACTCAAGCTGCATCCTTCCTTAGGAAGGGGAATGATGAAAGGGCTGAGGGTTGAGTGTCTTCCTGACACCTAGGCAAACTGCAAGTTTGTTTTTCCCGTAAACAGTGTGCAGTTTGCCACTTCCTCCAGCCCCTATGGACACCAGTCAGGTTTTTTGTTTTGGTTTGGTTTTTCGTTTGTTTTTACATACAGCTCATGTTCACCTTCTCCACTCAGCCTTCGTGATGATAAGAATCATGGAGTTACAGTCTCCTGACAACCATGCCCTTCAATGACTTGACACTTTTATTTTATACTTCTGAAATGTTCTCACATATAACTTCCTTTGATCCTACAAATAATGCTGAGTGGTAGGTATGTCAAGTAGTGTCCCCATTTTATGGGTGAGAAAGCTGAGGCTTCAGTGCTGTTCTCTCTGTGCTGTGCTACACATTCCTTTTCATTGTCCATGTCCTTCAAGCAGTGAATGTTTCTGTTGTCTTTGGGACAGTTCTAGATTAATAAATTCTTTGACAGCTAAATTTAAGGTTTAGGGAAAAATAAAAATGTGTTAGAACTTGTAAGACCTGGGTCCTAGCCACTTAGTGGCTAGATAATCTTTGTCAAGTCACTTAAACTCTGTGTTCTCATCCTTAAATTGGGAGTATTAAAACCTATCCTACTTCCCTTATCGGTTGGTTATTAGGTTCAGGTAAAATCATGTATTTGAAATAGCTAAATAGCTGTGAATTCTAAATTGCTATACAGATGGTAAATGCTATAACAACTTTGGTTCTGAGTTCCTATTCCTAGTTATTATATAATTTTATGTAATATTAATATTTTTCTCCCTGTAGAAATTAAACCTGCTCTTAGAACCTTTAACCTTTGCGCAACTGGGAGCCCCTAAAGTAGATTTCCTTGATACAGTGATTGTCGAACTGTAGGTTAAGGAGCAGTGGATAATTGTGGATTTTGTTGTCTAAGAAGTATTTGTGTTTTTGCAAAGCCGTTGTAAACAAATTTTCTTAGAAAATATGGAATCCAAAAATCATAGCCATGAGCATGTATGCATTCACAAAGCTGCCAAATAAGGCATGGCTAGTGAGTCTCAAAGTATTTCACTGTTGCCCGTTTGCTGTGTATTCATTTGTTTTGTCTTTTGTTAGCATTAGAGAACAAACTATAGATAGTACCAAGTTTTAACATATGGTAGAAAAGATTTAGGGTTTTTCTCTGCTGTTTGGGGAAAAAGTTTTTATACTACCTTCTCAATCCAGATCTCTCAACATCAGTGTTCCATAAGACTAAGCAAGGATGTTTTAGTTTCCCCATAAGTGCTGCTTCCTAGAATTAAAAGCTTTATTCTTTTTTTAAAGTTTTTCTTAGTTTGTAGCTCCAGCATCTCTGGAAAAGTAAGCAAGAGAAGCTGTGTTTTCTTTGTGGTTTGTTCTCAAGATGGGCGTTCCTCTCATAGCTGTTTGCCTGACATCTTCCTCACTTCCAACAGCTGTCCTGTGATATTAAAAAGTCCAGGGTTGATCATAGTATGTATGTGTCTTTACTCTGGAAAGTATATATTCCTGCAGATTCATTACTCTAATATGAATCTGTAATTACCCATATTTCTCATGGAGTATGGTGTTGGACTTTTGCTTCCAACTTATAGATGTCACAGATGGGTTACTTTCTGGTTTCTCAGTGAAAGGAACTATTTATAGTCACTGGATTTTGAAAGCAGCATCTATCATCACAAGACTACACTCCAAGTCAGACAAGACATAAATCTCCAAACCCACAAAGCTGAACAGCCACATCATCTTTTTTCAATGGGGCTTTGCATCAGGCTATTCTATGTTTGTTAGCTCAGCACTCCACAGTACTTCCTTATTAGGGTTGAAATGGGCCTCAAGTGAGCCCGAATAAATGGGTTTTATTAGCTTCCCAAAAATGGGTATCTATCTTCTCTCTTGATATGTTAAAAGAGAGAAAGGTCACAACTTGCAGTATATCCCAGTCTCATGTTAGGAAATGAATTGCTATTATCTCACCTTAGACTGGTTATGAAGGATGTGTCACCTTCTTGTCTTGTGGTTGATAAAGTTAATGGCCAAGTCTTGAGAGGAGAGGTGTAAGAGAAGAATCTGAAATGGATTAGGTAATTCCTAACTCCCACTCTAGCAACTATCTACTTCCTTCTTCTCCCCCGCCCCCACTGCCTGTGAGTTATGTTTAAGAAGAGAGGGGGAGATGCTCAGAAGACCTTTTCTCTTACATCTTCCTTTAATTTCAAAATACTAATAATCTTCTCCTTTATTTTTTTCTTTTTTTTTAAATCGTGCTTTAAGTGAAAGTTTACAATTCAAGTTAGTCTCTCATACAAAAATTTATACATTCATTGTTACATGACCCTAGTTGCTCTCCCTATACTGTGACAGCACACTCTTCCTTTCCACCTCAGATTTCCCGTGTCCATTCAGTCAGCTCCTGACCCTCTCTGCCTTCTCATCTTGCCTCTGGACAGGAGCTGCCCGTTTAGTTTCATTATCTACTTGAGCTAAGAAGCACACTCTTCACAAGTATCATTTTATGTCCCATAGTCCAGTCTAATCTTTGTCTGAAGAGTTGGCCTCGGGAATGGTTTTAGTTTTGGGCTAACAGAGTCCAGGGGCCATGTCTTCTGAGGTCCCTCCAGTCTCAATCAAACCATTAATTCTGGTCTTTTTACTAGAATTTGAGTTCTGCACCCCATTTTTCTCCTGCTCTGTTGGGGACTCTCTGTTGTGTTCCCTGTCAGGGCAGTCATTGGTGGTAGCTGGGCACCATCTAGTTCTTCTGGTTTCAGGCTGAGGAAGTCTCTGGTTTGTGTGGCCCTTTCTGTCTCTTAGGCTAATACTTCCCTGGTGTCTATGGTGTTCTTCATTCTCCTTTACTCCAGGTGGGTTGGGACCAATAAATGCATCTTAGATGGCTGCTCACTAGATTTTAAGACCCCAGAAGCCACTCACCAAATGGTAATCCTCTCCTTTAAAAGTACCCTTGGTTTCCATTGTCCAGGCCAAATCATTTAGATCCATTTTTCTTTAGGGGTCCCCTTGGTATTCTTTTAACCATGCATGGTTTCAGTGCTTTTCCATGCTGTTAACCTGATTCATTTTTGTCTGGGACTTCCAGAAACCTGAGATAGAACTGAATGTAGTAATGGGAACGGGGTACAAGAACACCTCCAGCAGAAAAATATGAGCAGACAGTTCATAAAAAAAGAAATACCGGTTACCAGTAAATTTTTTTAAAAGTTCATCATCACAATGAATCCAAGAACTGCTTATTATAAAGCAGTAGATACT